AAATTGATTAAACATTTTCTCAACACTAATAATAAATACATTTATTGTTTCATTCAAACGTATTAACCGTTAAATTAAACAAATAATTATCACAAACTATGCTTTCAATTTTATAGCAATTATTTACAAAATGCAATTAAATATGAATATAAATATAAAATATAAAAACTTAAACTTTAAATGCAAAAGATGTCAAACACAACTACCCATTTTTCAATACAAATACTATTCTAATGTAATGTTTAAGTGGTAAAAATAGTCTAGTTATAAACAGTTTGTTTAAATGTAATCATTAAGTGCTAACTTATATAAACACCACCGATGTATATTTCAAATTTTAAAGAATCTATTTTTACAATAAGTGTAACACTTATTTTAAAAATTCTAAATAATTTTCAATAGAAATTTTGTGAAAAACATGTAGTTGTGTAATTTAATGTAAATGAGATTTTTCGGTAAAATTTTGTAATGTTTTAAATAATACTCAATATATTAGAGTAATTTTGAAAGTTTGCCAAAGATTTTAAATTTGTATTTGTATTTTAAATGTGATGTTTTAAATGGCTGTGAGTTTTACAAATATACAAAACTAAATGACTTAACAAAACTATATAAAGTTTTTCAATATAGTTTTAGCTAACAATAGTAGTACAATATTTTTCATATTCACTAAACAAAAATAGCTTTAATAATAATTATTATAATTCTAAAATCATATGCAAAAACTAATTGATTAAATGTTTTATAACAACTGACAAATTTCTTAATTGTTTTCTAAATGTAAATGTAATACAAGTTGTATTTAAATATCTATTAACTAGTATTTTATAGAAAGCACTTTAAGTTGATAACCATAAACAACACATTTTAGGCATTCTTCGGACTCCCATTGCTTATACTCTATAATTATTGAATAACACTTCTTTTTATACTGTATATACAAAATACACTTTTTTTGTCTACAAATATTTAAACATTTATAACCACTGCTTCTCACATTCCTTGCGATGTGACACGATCTGTGCGTTAATAATAAATGTAAATTTGTTTTATTAATAGCAATGAGAGCACAAAACAAATCGTAAACTATTTTACCGAGTGTTTATGTAAGTAGGGATTATCTACAATAAAAAGCTATTTTTTATGTTATCTATGAGACAAACCCATATGGGTTTGGAAACAATTTTTCATTGCAAAACATATTTGAATTAAACTGAATGTCAAAACAGTTATAATTAGATGAGCAGAGAGTGTTCCCGTGTTATACGTCTACACATGAAGTGTACATAAAGTGTACATTTGAAAGGAATAATTTTCTTATACTGTGTCTCAAAGCTTGTGTTTAATGCCTCGGTTTGTGTTTACATTTTATAAAAGAGAGAAAAATTGTATAATAATTATTTTGTCAATAAATAAATATTTTATTTAACTGAAGAATTAATTAAATGACTTTTGTTTAAAACACATAATACTTATTTATAATATAGTATAATTGAATTGTCATATGATTGACATTATTTTCACTCTCAATTATCGTAAATATATTTTATATACAAATATAGATTGTTTTATTTATAAATGTATTATTTGTATAATTAATTCTAACAAGTATTACTATTTTGTTTTGTAAATAATGACTGAAATATTCTGCGAAAAGTCAATTGAAAACATAATTTTAAATTGAATTTTTATTAATAATCTATTAATTTATTCAAAACAATAATAATTAAAACGATTGATTCATTTATTTAAATAATTCTCTGCTAACCATAACAAACCTAATAAATCCATAACTAATCTCAACAATAAAATAGTAATAAGTAAATAAATTGAAAATTGAGTTCATTTTCTGTGAGTGTACTGTATATAACCGGTAACAAAAATTTAACTTATAAATCGAATAATAAATTAACAATAATTTGTGATAACTTCTTCGTAAATGCAAACAAACAAATTGAAAAATAGTTATATAATTATCAAAAAATATGAAAACAATAGTAAATCGTAAAACCTATTGTATGAAGATCAAGTAATTTGTATCGATAATAAAACAGCGTTTGTTTAATAGTTTGCTTCAAATGTTGAAAGCATTTCAAATATAATGTTTGGATTTCAATTATAAGAGAACGTATAAATGAATGCAAAACGGCGCTTAGAAATTTATTATTTGTTAGAATTGCCATAGACTTTCTATTAGCACATGGAAAAGCATTACAATAGACTTAGTTGGCCAATTTATGCCGGATTGTAATGATTCTTATTATAGATTAAACATTTGTTTGTAATTAACAAATTATGCATTGTTACAATATCTCGCACTTACATAGTTTAACCTGTAGCATAGTGCTTTTAGACGGTCCCGATACTAAGTATATCACGTGATCAAAATCAATTAATAAAATAAGAGCAAACAATTATAAATAGTTATGTTTTATTTCGTTCATTTTGTTTGGGAGATATTCAAATAAGTTATGAATAAATTTATAAGTTGCTAAGCGCCCTTTTGCATTGGAGTAATATATAAACTTTTAAAACTAATTTTCAGCAAAAATTAACGTAATTGCAATAATGTAATTGCATTTATTACATACTTTTTCAATAAGTATACAGAATATAGTTGTGATAATAAAAGAGTTTACAGTAAATTCACTGAAACACTATTTAGTGTAATAGTAAAGTGTATTCAGAATTATAATTTTTGTTTAATTTGAATTAGTCTTGACTTTGAACGCAAACCGAGAATCAAATCACAAAAATTATTGCAAAATCAACAGTGAAATCAAGAGTTTGTTAACAAAAAATACATTTTGGGAGACAATGAAGAACTGGTTTTCGGTCTAAACTTTGAACAAAACGATAGATTCGGACAAATGTTTTACGAATTGGAGAGAAATAATACTTTATTAGCGATTAATAACATGTCGTTAGGGATGACAACGCTTGAGGGCTCTTACGCTCAGATTGTCTCAAAAGTGGACAACAATTTACCCTAAGATCTCAACACTGATATCAATGATAATATCGAAAAACTAATTACTGAATCACTTAATACTCAACAAAACAAAATCTCAATTTGAAGACTAGTTTTAAGTCAATATTCTTAGCGTCTCATTATATGATTGAATGCCAGATATTATGCAATCGAATGTTTAAAAGTTTTGTTGAAAACTATAAAAATAGGTTGAAATCAATTGATGTTGTAATGAATCAAAAGCGTTCAGTCGAGCGGTTTATACATATACTAATCAATGGTTTGTCAAAAATGAAAGGATTAATTGAATTCAAGTTTCCGTACACTATATTCATATTTCACTGATTGAGGCTCTATTGAGACAAATATCTATGAATTGCCCGAAACGAAAAAGATTGTCTTATAATTGATCTCTGAATTCAAGAGCAAAATTCAAGTCAATTATTTTCACTCAATTCTGTCGCTTCTATTCATACCAATCAGTAATTGTGTAATAAATGTAAGAATAGAGTGCATTATATGTGGTAAGACTGTGACCACAAACGCGAGTTCGGTTTTCAATAGTACGCAAACCGTTGCCAACAGTACGGCAGTGGCGGCCGTCGCCTCACTATTGCCACAATCAGTGAGTCATTAATACACTGCGGCCGCTCGGCTGTCATCGCACGCCTATTATGCCAACTCCACGTCCAGCACATCATATCTGAACGGGCCGTCAGTAATGCTTCCGTCACTGCTTTACCACCAGTTATATCAAAGTGCAGGACAACCATCCGCTCAGTTGTTGGCCACTAGAGTCAACACAAGTGTAGCCCAAACCACACCAAATGATACCAATTGTGACAGCAATGATGACTGCATTATCACTACAGATACCGAACGTAACGACAGTAATAGTGATTGTGAACGCATCAGGAATCGTACAAATAATGTCCGTGAAGGACAACATGGTCATCGACTACCACTACAACAACAGCAGATCATCAATATTTGAATGGACTGTACACTCATTCATACAGGAAACATAATACGAACAAAATATTCAATTTATTACTCAATGAAAATTACACACAATTTGGGTTACCATGATTAATAAAGGGGTACAATTGGGGCAAATGGGGGCGTAAGGGAAGATCGGCTTTAACAGGAGGGCGCGTCAGTCATCGGCCGGTCCTTAGCGTCCCGGTTCAGGTGCTTAAGCGCTCCTGACCACGGCAGACGTCCACACCTCCAGAGCGTTTTCGGCCGATCTTAATTTGGGAGGGGTCGGAGGGTTTGGGGTAGTAATCCCACCCTTGCTTGTAAAGAGGTAAAAACAGCCTTCTCTACACTCGTTTCACTCTCGAGAATACCCATAACTCACACTCGCACTGACCACTCACTCGCCGATCCACAGACACACTCCTATTCAATAAATCTACAAATATTAATAAATGAAATACAGTTTATTCAAAGCACACAAACAACACATACAACACATCAGTGCTCTTCAAGGGCTGCCGGTATTCTGGAGAGAAGAGACAAATTGAGTGCAGCATCTCTTCTCTCAACTGGTGATGGGATGGGCGCTCACAGTGAGCGATACCATATTTGGCCATCACTACTGTTATGACATCACATCACATCCAATCACCAGTTCCAATATATTAATATAATAACAAAGTATTTTACTTTTACTAATGTATTAAAAAATGCATTTTTCAATACAAGCTCTATCGTTGACCGGAATGGTTCAAATATGTGTTAGATTATCGGCCGATACCGAGTCCTATATGACTGCTGTCGAGCGAGTGCTCAAATACACTGCTATTAAAACCGATGCTAAGCTCGAGTCGACTCCCGACCGGAAACAGCCCAAAGATTAACCACAAATGGGGGAAATAGTGTTCAAACATATGAGTCTTCAATACAACGAATCGCCGCATAAAGTGCTCAAAGATATCAATGTTTGCCTCAAAGGGGGAGAAAAGGTGGGAGTCGTGGGCCGGACGGGCGCCGGCAAGTCGTCAATCATTGCAGCCCTGTTTCAACTCACAGAACCTTTAGGACAGATATTGATAGACGGAGTGGACATCAAAACTATAGGTTTACATGACTTGAGAA